TTAGATTATATTAAAAATTATAGTTAAGCGTGGCTGGTGTGGCTCAGTTGGCTGAGTGTTCTTCCATGTACCAGGAGGTCACCAAGATTCCCGGTCAGGGCACATGCCCAGGTTTCGGCTCGATCCCCAGGAGGGGGCATGCAGGAGGCAGCTGACTGATGTTTCTCTCTCACCGATGTTTCTCTCTCTTTCTCCCCTTCCCTTCCTCTCTCTGAAATCAATAAAAACATATTAAAAAAATAATAATAATAAAATAACATAAAAATTATAGTTAATTTTGTTAGATGCAACAATGGTACTATGATTTATTTGAAAGAAAAATGTTCTTGTTTAGAGATGCATATTGAAGTATAAGTAAAAAAAAGGAAAATAATATAATATTAAAATTGTTAAGTCCTTCAAAACAACAAAATAGCTTCAAATTAAGGTTAACTTGATTGTGTCTTTAATGTTCTTGAAAAGTTACTACAAGAATAATACTTCTGAAAAATCCATTTAGAATAAACCTAAAATCAAAGAACTTGCTATCAAACTCAAATATAAGTATATATACATTAAAAAAATTGTTAAGTGATGAGTATAATAGGCACACACTGAGTTAGTCTTGTTACTTTTCTCTAAGTTTGCAATTTTTTATAATAAGAAGTAAAAAATCAGTGTTACTGTTTCAGTTTGGTTGTCACTATAATAAACAATAGCCTTTCCCCTAGTGACTGGCCCCAGGACAGTTTTTCCCATTTACTCCTTCTATATAAATACGATCACCTTAGTGAAGAATGGTGTTTTATTTGCTCTAGACAATATTTATAAATTTGGACAATATCATCATGTTCATAATACCATCATGTCCCCACATTTCTTTGCTCCTCTAGTCTTCGTTGCACCCTCTAACAAAGTCCCAAATCTAGAATAACAAACCAGCCACCTTCTCCACAACTGCACTCCGACGAATACTCCTGCAGAAAAATTACACAATTTTAGTACGGTAATTTTAATAATTACCGTTCCCAGCACTGCCTGGTGATTTTTCTTAATTTCTCCTGTTAGAGCTTTCTCCCACATGCTATAAAGACTACTTCAAACTTTCCTTCTTCAAATCTGAAATCAAACCTTCCTATTCCTACTCAGCCTCAGTAAATGGTCTTGCCTTCCAAATAACACAGAAAACAGAAGCATTCAAACAGTAAGTTCCTCTACTTCCTGCCATCAAATCTATAAATTTACCTGTAGCTATATTCATAGATTTCTTCCCTCCTTTAAAATGAAGAGGTATTTTTTAAATCAAGGCTCAATCCCCTTCACCTGTGAAAATTTCTATCCTTCCTCACTCTCTTAGGAGCCTACTTAACATAACATCAAATACAGTATCTAATGTAATCCGTTCCGAAAGACCGCTTGAGTTCTGAAACGTTTGAAAACCGAGCGATCAATAGCTGACAGCTAGGCCTCAGGATCTTGCCCTCAGTGGAAGCCGTGGGTGTTGGAAACATGACTCCCGAGGTGTGTTGGAAAACCCAAAGCATTTCCTTCCGGGTTTATGGCGTTCGTAAACCAAAACGTTTATCAGTGGAGACGCTTGAAAATCGAGGTGCCACTGTATCCCCTCTCCTGAACCCTCACCCTTTCTTTATTGAGTCCATCAATATTTATTTATTTATTTAAAATATGTTTTTTATTGATTTCAGAGAGTGGAAGAGAGAGGGAGAGGGAGAGGGAGAGGGAGAGGGAGAGGGAGAGGGAGACAGAAATATCAATGATGAGAGAGACATGGTCAAGTCTCTCATATTGAAAAACATAAACAAAAAATCCTCCCCGATTCCACACTCCACTACAGCTATGAGCCATTATGTCTACGCTCCTTCACAAATGGTTACAAAGAGTTGCTGATAATCGGTTTCTAGTTCTGACATCCCAATCATTTATTAATCAGTTCAAATTGAGTTTTTCCTCTTGCGACCATTACCTAAAAGACAGCAATGAAATCACATGGCTAACCGACTCTGCCCCAGTGTTCTCTCCCCAGCATTCAACACCCGAGACCTCCATTCTTCTTGACACTCTCCCCTGTGGGCTTACGTGATACTATGTTCTTCGGGTTTGCCTTTTATTGTTTTCTCTCGGTCTCCTTCGCTAGCTCACACTCTGCTAGCTAACCCTTAAATGCTGGCGCTCCTCAAACCTTTGTCCTAGCCTTCTCTTTTCTTCCCATTCCATATTTTTCTAGTAAATCTCCTCCTATCCCCAAATTACTATATATACACAAAAGTTATTCCAGTCTTGAGCCATGTTCCCAACATTTCCACGTGAAGAGGTGCTTCAGAAGCAGCTACAACAGTTCCAAGGCTGATTTCATATCTTTCTTCCCTTCCAGTGTTCTCCGTTTCATCAGCTGTTCATGCTCAGAACCCAGAAATCATTCTTTCTTATTTTCACACCCTAATCATCAAATATGGTTGGTTGTATCTCCTAAATGTCTATGGAATCTGTCTACTCTGTATTTATTTACCATCCTAGTCCAAGTCACTATAACCTCTTAATAGGCCTCCTGCAATAGTCTCCTAACTAAATCCATATCCACTCTTGCCTCAAAGTCCAAAGCACCTTCATGTTGTACAAGGGTGAAGGAGACACACACCACTACTGATATACTGTTTAACTATAGAATATGTTTACTGAGAAAAACTTAAAAGCAGAGAGAAACAGCACAATGCACACGTTTTCTGAGCTATCATTATCTCACAGAAAGTCATAGTTAGTACAGAAACAGACACATGATGGAAAGTGCTCCCGAACAGGCACCCCCTCCCCAACTGCATTGGAAGACTAGGAATACCTAGCTGACTAGCAAAGGATTCCTGGTCAGGGATATGGCCTTGATAGAAAAGGGAACATCTAGAGCTCAGTTCTGGGAGGTGGTGTAACAACCACCAATGACAGCCAGAGACCTTGTTTTCCCATTGAACTGTCTCTTCCTGCTGAGCCCAACAGACAGAACAAAAAGACCCATTAGGCCATCAGGAGACCAAGGTCTGTTTCTCCTCATAATGTGCAGCTATTGTGGAAAACAGTATGGAGTTTCCTCAAAAAATTAAAAATGGAACTGCCGTTTAACCCAGAAATTCCACTTCTGGGAATATATCCTAAGAATCCCAAAACACCAATCAGAAAGAACATATGCACTCCTATGTTCATAGCAGCATTATTTACAATACCCAAGGTCTGGAAACAGTCCCAAGTGCTCACCTGTAGATGAGTAGATAAAAAAGATGCAGTCCATTTACACAATGGAATATTATGCAGCTGTAAAAAAGAAGGATCTCTTACCCTTTCGGGCAGAATGGATGGACCTGGAAATTATTATGCTAAGCAAAATAAGTCAATCAGAGGAAGACAACTATCACATAATCTCACTTATATGTGGAATCTAATGAACAAAATAAACTGATGAACAAAATAGGACCAGAAGCATAGAAGCATAGATGCATGGAACAGACTGAGGGATCTCAGAGGGGAAGGGGTGGGAGGGACTGGAAGAGATTAACTAAAGAATATATCTGCATATATGCATAGCCCTTGGACACTGACAATAATGTGGTGAAGGCCTGGGAGGGGCTGGGTGGAGGGGAGGGAAGGGGGGTAAATGGGGGACATCTATAATAGTGTTAACAATTAAAAATAAATAAAAATAATAAAATGTTTAGTGTAAAAAAAACCAAACATAAAAAAGACTCAATAAGATGAAGTATCTGCCTATCTCTTTAGCCTTATTCCATGCCTCTTATTGATGCTTTAGCCACACAGACCTTCTTTCAACTCCTTAATGAAGTCAAGTTCTTTCCCTCCTCAGGTGCTTAGTTAATTCTTTTTTTTTGCTAATTGATTAAATTCCTAGAAGATTCTCTTTCAGGTCTCAGTTGCTGATAATTAAAAAAAAAATTTTATATATTGATTTTAGAGGAAGGAGGGGGAAGAGGGAGAAACATCGATTTGCTGTTCCTTATTTATACATTCATTGGTTGCTTCTTGTATGTGCCCTGACCGGGGATCAAACCTGCAACCTTGGCGTATTGGAATGATGCTCTAACCAAGTGAACTGTGACCTCCTGGTTCATAGGGTGATGCTCAACCACTGAGCAACACTGGCTGGGCTGGGCTTTGGTATTTTTTAAAAAGCTCCCCAGGTAGTTCCAGCATACAATGTGGGATGAGAATCACTGGTTTAAGAAGAGAAGTATTAACTTTACTGAAGAGTTGATATTCGAAATACTTCTTAAAAGGTGAAACTTGAATAGGCAAAAAGGAGTAAGATCTTTTCAAATAAGGATTAAGGAGTAATAAATGGCAGTGAGGCGCTGAAATGAAAAAACATAAAGTGTGAATTATGGCCGAAGCAGTGTTGGCACAGGGGATAGTAGACATATCTTGCATTACTATCCTTTAGGCACTGAACTAGTACCTCTAGGCACTACTGAACATTTCTGCTATATTATTGACATGGTTAGAGCAGTATTCTACCACAGAAGTCTAGGTATAAATTGATAAGCTCCTGAATTAGGTGGCAGCTATAAAAATGAAAGGGATAAATAAAGAGATAACCAAAGGGTTGAAACAGTAAGATTTTTTTGGCAGAGTCATAAATGGCATGGTAAGAAGACTTTAAAGTAACATTGTTAGCTTTAATAATACCAAACACTATCATAAAAACAAATCTTGATTCTTTTTTTTAAACTCCTTTAGCCCTCAAATATAAACATCCATCATTAGCAGTCACCTTACTACTATCTCTAGGGTTTATCTTCTTTTTTCCTTAAAATAAATGTGAAGTAACACTTAAATGGCTAATCCAGTCCATCCTAAAGAAGTATTTAATAATTATCTTCATAATTTAATGGTTAAGGAATATTATGCTAAAATTTTATTTTCAAGCAGATCATAAGACATTTCTAAATCAAGTTCCTTTAATTTCAAATAACAATTAAATAGCTATTTCTACATCATACCTTGTATTTGGTCATGGTGCTAAAATGATTATTCCGAAAGAACACACAAAGTTCTCCTTCCTGAACCGTTGAGGTTAGTTCACATAATCCATGGTATGTCAGTTGAGTGGCTGTGTTATTTAGAAACTGCTCAGCTACAAAGCCTATGGAACCAATGCATAATATTAGATGGAAGAATAATTTCAAAATTTCAGAAATTTTTCTGTTTACACTGTGTTCTAAGTATGAAGAAAGGCCAGTCAGAATAAGACTTCTACTATAACATGGTGGCCCCAAATTGGAAATTCTACTTTTTAAATTATTTTGGAAGATGTGTCTATAGACATTCCCATCCTAAAGAAACAGTTATATGAAATTCTTTTTATCAATTAATGTATTTACATATACTTTACCTACTTCCAAAAAGGATTTCAGGCAGCTTGCAACAAAGCACACAGACACAGTAAAACTAAAACCCACTAAAACAAATAAGGCACGAGTTAGCAATTTAAAAAGTGCATAGGAGCGAAAGATGTATGTCAACTGCTACTTCCCCAGCAATAGATGTTTAGAAATGAAAAGTGGTCTAAACAAAGCGAGTTGCTTAAGATTTTAACAAACGTCCCAGATAATTCTAAATTCACAAACTGCTCAATTCCTGCCTTAAAACTAAAAGTACGTGTAAAACTGAACAGAAAACAGTGGATAACTGATGCTATTTTATCCTAATCTCCTCCAACATATGCCACTCTTGATACATATATCAAGTTCACAAATAGAAATGATCTCTTTTCTTTTTAATCCTCACCCGAGGATATTTTTTCTATTGATTTTTAGAGAGAGTGGAAGGGAAGAAGGGAGGGAAGGAGGAGGAGAGAGAAAGAGAGAGAGAGAGAAACACTGACGTGAGAAAGACACGTCGATTGGTTGCCTCCCACATGCGCCCTGACTGGGCCAGGATGGAACCTGCAACCAAGGTATGTGCCCTTGACCGGAAATCGAACCCGCAACCTTTAGGTCAGGCTAGCCCATGGTCTAACCACAAAGACAAACCGGCCAGGGCAGAAATGATCTCTTTAATTTTCAAAACATAATGAAATATAAAGAAGTTTTCTGGGGCCCTGGCTGGTGTGGCTTAGTGATTAGAGCGCCTGAAGGGTCTCAGGTTTGATTCCCAGTCAAGGGCATGTATTTTGGCCCCTGGTCAGGGTGTGTGTGGGAGGCAACCAGTCGACGTGTCTCTCTCACATCAATGCTTCTCTCTCTCTCTCTTTCTGTCTCCCCCTCCCTCCCTTCCATTGCTCTGAAAAGCAATGGAAAAAATATCCTCAGGTGAGGATTAAAAAAACACACAACAGGTTTCTGGGGTTTAACTTAAAAGATATATATATGTATAGTTGATCCTTGCTATTGGCCCAATTTGTCTACTAGCTGGAATTTATTTATAACCCCAATATCAATACTTGCTGTGCTTTGAGGGTCATTCCTGGATATTTGCAAAGCTGCAAAAAAATTGAGTCACCAAACGTGCACTTTCCTCACTGAGGTCAAACAAGGCAACACTGGGCCTTGTTTCAGCTCTCATACTGTGAACAAGAGTCCTTTTCATAGTCTATTGAGTGCCAGATTCTTCACATTTTTGTGCTTTTTGGGGAGTGATTTTTACTGTGTAAAATGGCCCCCAAGCGTAACGCTTGAGTGCTCGCTAGTGTTCCTAAGTGCACAAAGGCTGTGATGTGCCTATGGAGAAAATATGTATTTTTGCAGCTTTGTCCAGGCAAGTTATAGTGCTTTTTGCCGTGAGTTTAATGTTACTGAATCAACAATATATATTAAATAAGGTGTCTCTCAACAGAAATGCACATAAAACAAGGTTATGTATTTATCAGTTGATGAAAAGTTTGTGACTAAAGGCTCACAGGAACCAAATCTTGTGTTTCCCATAGATACACTGGTTTAATATTCACTAATTCAGTGTTCATAGCAACTTTATAGAACAGCAGTTTTCTGGTGTGTTGCAAGTTTTAAAACATGCAATACCTAACTATTTAGTCAGGGGCACTGACCTCTTTTCCCTTAGATTGTCAAATAAAAAAATGACAACAGCCAACACAACAATAGACGTCCAGTGTAAATGAATCAAAATTATACCTATTTTTTTTTGGCAGACTGGCAAAAAATATATTTTTGGTGTGCCACAGAATTTTAGTAATTAGTTTATGTGTGCCATGAGATGAAAAAGGTTGGAATTCATTGTTACAGAACAAAACTACTGGGAATAATGAGAATCGACTATATAAATATTTTAAAAGCCTGTATTTCTCTTCTTCTGTTCTTTCTCTTCTTCCTTTTGTTCCCTTCCTTTAATGAAGAAGAAAAATCTCAAAAACAATAGGGGGGAAGAGAGTGTTCTAAAAAGTTTTATAAATGAGCAGAGAGGTGCAAATATAGGAAGTAAAGATGAACCTGTGTTAAGAAACTGACACAAGAAATTGAAAATAAACTTGGAAGGGCCAGGAGCAGCTGCAGAGTATAGGTTTATTCCACTCACTCTCCATCCCTCACCATTATTGTCAAGCGACACCAATTCAAGTGCAAAGCAGCTGTAAAAAGTTACCAATATATCACACTATTCCAAAGAACTGGTTAAGGTAGAAGGGGAAGTGCAAAATGTTATACAGAAGGCCACAGCCAAAGGAAATTTACAGCACATTTGCAACGTCTTGGGTTTATACATTTAGAAATAGTTGCCCCCCCTCAATTACTATTATTACTTTGCTAAGTACTAAGTTACTGAGTAGAATGTGTGCATTATATACTAAAGCACTTAGTATTACACATCATTTTAAAAGTATAATGCCTGGGCTAAGAAGTACCACTGCTGTGTTACTAAACACTTCCTTCACAAAGATGTTTCTAAATGTCCCTCTCACACTTCACTCACGCAATGTCCTCTCTACAGATCCTTTTAAGACAAAAAAAAAATTTCAATAAAGATTAAGCACAACATTGCTTTCATGTGTAAAATTCAAAAATTGAACACTAGAAAGGTCTTGCTCAGTTTCTTTCTATAGAACAGGGCAGAGGCTCAGAGAGAATAAGTGACTTTCTCAAGGACAAAATTACTTATGGAAAAGTAAAGACTGGAACCCAGGAGAATTATTGGTATCAAGTTAAAAGATTTAGTGCTTATGCCCCGGCTGGTGTGGCTTAGTTGGTTGGGCACTGTCCCGTACACCAAAAGGTTGCGGGTTTGATTTCCAGTCAGGGCACATACCCAGGTTGCAGGTTCAATCTCTGGTTGGGGCATGTGCGGAGGCAACTGATAGATGTTTCTCTCTCTCTGTCCCTTACTCTGCCTCTCTAAAAAAAAAAATAAAAAAAATTAGTGCTTATTATTACAAATACAAACTGAATTATATTTCTCCCCAAACCATAAAGCATAGACCTATAGAGAAAAATGTTTCCTAATTCTCCTACCAACTCTTAAACAGTGACACTCCTGCAATTTTAGTGGAATATTCAAAAGCCTGATCTAGATTCAACTCTTCATAACTAATTACACAAACTTTGGTAAACAATTCTAAGTGTTACATAGCTGTTTACTTATCTGCATTGCTTCAAATGACAGTTTAATTGCAACATTTATATTAAATTTCAATTTTATTGTTATAGATATTGTTATTAATGATACTAAGTAAGGTGAAAATATAATGGTAACAATGAGATAATATATATATATATATATATATATTTTAAATATATCTTTATTGATTTCAGAGAGAGGAAAGGAGAGGGGGAGAGAGAGATAGAAACATCAATGATGAGAGAGTCATTGATCAAGCCTGCAACCGGGCATGTGCCCTGACTGGGAATCGAACCCTGATCGCCTGGATCCTAGGTCGACGCTCAACCGCTGAGCCACTCCTGGCCAGGCACAATGAGATAATATTACTGAAAAATAAATTTAAATTAAAAATTATTTTCCTGACATTAGTGTGTTTGAAAATATCTTGCCCAGCCAGGCGTGGCTCAGTGGTTAAGCATCGACCTATGATCCAGGAAGTCGCTGTTCAATCCAGTCAGGGCACATGCCTGGGTTTCGGGCTCAACCCCCAGCAGGGGATATGTGAAAGGAAGCCGATCAATGACTCTCTCATCATTGATGTTTCTATCTCTCTCTCCCTCTCCCTTCCTCTCTCTCTCTGAAAGCAATAAAGGTATATTTTTTTTAAAAGAAAATATCTCTTAGTTTCAGAAACTCAATACTAAATTAGTTTATCAAATTATTTTCCTTTATTACTGAAGAGCTACTATTAGAGAAGATAAAAGTACTGAGTGCCTTAAAGGATGTGAAGTTAGAAGAGGGATACTAAAATTAGGCAAAAAGGAACAAAAAGAGGTAATATGATAAAAGGAAACATAGTTTATTTAAAAATGTTGGCCCTGACTAAGACTTGTGTTCAAATTTAAACTCAATTAAATTTAACTCTGTCACTATGATAGTTTTAAACAAATGATCTGATTCTCTTTTTAGATTCATCTACTGTCAAGTTTCAAAAAATCAAACACAGTTAATATTTTTCCTCAAGAGGATGGGGCAAAAAAAAAAATCTCTTTTAATATGACAAATGCCCATATTTTCTTTGAAAAAATAGGGGCTGATATGATTTGATTCCTGGGAAGCAGTAGGGAGCCCAGAACTTCTTACTGTGCTAGAAAACAAGAAAGTGCTCAAGAAATGATGAACACATGTCAAAAGAACATTGGGGCCCAACAAAAAAATCTGGCAGATAATACCTTAGTCATATGTGAATCTGGCCCAGTAGTTGAATGTTGTCCCATGCACCAAGAGGTTACTGGTTCTGTATGGGTCAGGGCACATGTGAGGATTGTGGGCTCGATCTCCAGTGTGGAGTGTGCAGGAGGCAGCCAATCAATGACTCTCTCATCAATATTTCTCTCTCTCCCTCTCCCTTTCTCTCTCTCTCTGAAAACAATAAAAAACATATTTAAAAAAAAAAAAAAAAAAAGAACATAGAATCCAGCATGAGACCATCCACTTGGCCACATCTGGGATAATTCTAAGCATCAAAAAGAATAATGGTGATAATGAATCATAACACACTGAATAAGAAATGATCTATGAGTCTACATTGATACAAAAAAAAGTTTTAATGGAGGAAGCAGGAGAAGGGAAACTATTTTTTACAGAATAATGCCAATTAATAAATGTAAAAGGAGTAACAGAAATATCATGACCACCATAGTAATGATTTAGGGAAGAATCAACAAATGCCAACTCTATTGAGTGGAAGATTATTAGGAAACAGGATATTCACACAGTAAAGATCACCGATTACTTATTAATTACGAAAGTCAAAGGGCATCTTTACAACAAAAAAATTCAGCAGATAACACCTTAATCATATGTGAACATCACCAATAATGGAATAATCAGACATCATGTGCCACCTGCTTGGATGCACTGGAAAAGACACAATGTCATCTATGTAGTATTCCCACCAAAAATACATAACCTAAATCATATGAATCCAAATTGAGGACTATTCTACAAAACATGTGACCTGGACTATTAAGAAAAGGTAACATCACAAAAAAACCACAAAGAAAAAAAAAGAAAAAAGGATAGAGATCTATTTTAGATTTTAAGAGACTATATTGATATGACAATCAGATGATCCTTGAAGCCTACACTGAAACATTTAAAAGCTGTAAGGGACATTATTGGGACAGCTGGGGAATTTTGAATGTGAACAGTATATTAGATAATAGTATTATATCAATAATAAATTTCCTGAGATAATTGTAAGATGATTATATAGGAGAATTCTTTGTTCTCAGGAGACAAATGTTGAAGCTAATGGTTAAAGTGCTATGATATGTGCAACTAATTCTAACATGATTTAGAAAAAAATGTGTGTGTAAGAATATAGAAGGAAAGCAAGAATTCAATATGTTAATGATTGGTGAATTTAGGCGAAGCATATATATATTTATTGTGCTTTTCCAATATTTTTATGGGTTTGGGATTTTTCAAAATAAAGAAAAATCAATATTATTTAATTAAAAAGAATATGAATTCAAACTATAATCTTCAGTATGTATAGCACACAACAGAGGCTCAATAAATATTTGAACAAATGAATATTCTGGAATTGTTTCTTTAAACATATACACACACATATATAACTGCAAACAATTGTTAAAAAGAAAATATTCCTGAGACAGCATGTGGAATTAAATGGCCAGACCAGCTCTGGTGAAGTCTGGCAGTCTGTACTGTGCAATTTTTTTCATTGTTAATTTTTGCTGCCTTGTCACACCCATCATTATAACTAAATTCAAAAGAGTATTTTTTAATGCAAATATCTGCTTTATATACGTAATCTGATTATATGACAGCTGCTGATCACCAGAAAATGAACTGGATCTCGATCTCTTCTCTGAGATTTTGTTAATCTCATTTTTTCCCTTTTTTAAAAATTGAATTTATTGGGGTTAATTAGTTAATAAAATTATATAGGTTAAAGGTGTACAATTCTATAATACATCATCTGTATATTGTATTGTGTTTTCACCACCCCAAGTCAAGTCTCTTTCTATCACCATTTATCCCCCCTTTACCCTGGCTTGCCTCCCTCCACCCCCATTACCCAGTTATCAAAAAAGTATTAACACCCAGAAGAGGTAGCAAATAATACATACTCTATGTACATGTTAAAGTTTTGTACTTTTACTTTAAAAGTGTTGCCATCAGAAAAAAAAGAACGTCATCTGAAAGAAACTGAAAGAATATGTAATTCTGCTTGTCAGCTAAATAACATTTCTTTTATATCAAAAAGAATGGTAGTAAAGGTATTTCTAATATTCTGCACCTTATAAAGATAAAATGTTTGAATTTAAAAAATAGTTATCATCTAAGACCAAAGCTTAATACATTTTAATAAAGAAGGATTAGAAATAAAGCACCCTTTGGACAGTTTATTGATTTAGAAGGAAAGTTACAGTTGTAGATCAAACAGAGAAGTAGACTACTACAGAAAGTAGACTACCACTTCAGTTGAACACTATACCCAAGAAAATGTGATGAAGAAAATGATGGAGGGAAGTTAACTGCTAAATTGTAAGTAAAAATGTCCATTGTGGCCTCTTCTTTTCTATGTGATTTCTTAGTGCCTTATATGAGTAACCATTGGGTTAAATAATTATTTCAAGCAGACTACATATTTGTAGTTTCTTATAAACAAAAACTATTTGTTTAGCTTTTTAATTGTAGTGAATTCTCTATATAATTATTTCTTGATATGGAAATCTGATATGCAGAATTTCATTACCACAAAATATTTTATATCAAGGACTTAATTCTGGTATATATTACCCCAAAATTCTATACCATTAAAGAAGGTAATTCCTTCCTTGTTTTTCTCAAGATGTTCTTCTCAAGTTATCAATACTATATAAATTAGCTATTGTTTTTCATTATCCTGGGAAATCAATGTGAGAGAAATAATAGTAGTTGTAACATCAGGTTGAGAAAAAGGAGAAGTGAAAAAGGGACTGGGTTTTGTGTTGTTGATGTTGTGCATTTGTTAATTAGTGTAGTACCTAAGTCCTACCTTGTCACATTACAGCCTGACTTGGGAATTGCTGTTAGTGTTTCCTATAGCTTCTGGCCCTATAAATCTAGTCACTCAAATATCATTTCTTGGCTATCATTCTATCTTTTAACACTTTCTGAATTCTATTGGTCCCTCAATTACTACTAAATAGCATATTGGAAGTTACTGAGAAAGTAGGAATCCATCAATGGAAATTTTCTTTATAGCATGCTTTTTAGGAATATATTTATGGTAATGAGAGCTTGGATAAGTTCTAGTGAGTGAAATTTTGTTAACTGAGAGGAAGTAATTTTAACAGCTTTTGTTGCTCCTCTTCCCCCTAAAATTTAAACGTTGCTGCCTTAGGTTGTAGTGAAAGAACTGTCATACAAATCAGTGATCAATATCCCTATATATTTATTTATGTGTTTATTGCAAGTATAAGAGTAGGATACGCCTCAACTAAACTATTGTGTATTTTCTTGCTACTTGCCTCTTGTATAAAGTTACGGATAATGGAGTAATAAAATTAGTTGGGTTCTGATTAATCAATATAGTATGAGATTTGTGTACATGTCTTCTTTTATATGTTCTCATATAATCTTGTAGTCAGTTTTAATTTTTTACAATGTGGTAATTGTAATATATATGTTATAATACATAACTTATACCATGTAGAAGAATTGTGTGTCTAAGAATAATGAAGCCCACTCCCTGCTTCTCATGATTTCTCTTCCCTTTGTTTACCCTACAAACAGAGGAGAATAGCAGCCTCAGTATTTGAGTATATTTATGAAAAAATGAAGTGGGTGGTAGGAAGGTATAACCAAATGCCATGGCTCCTGATAGCATTCTGCTCTTTCCCGTCACTGACTGGAACACAGCTGAAAAATATGAAACTGCTTCTATGGTGATGAATTTAGCAATTTTAATTAGCTAAGGATTAGGAAAACAATCAAAGGTAAACTTTGATTCAGAATGGAGCTTTACTGTACTATATTGTACTGAAACATAAGGCAGAGCTCTACTAAAATAAACACTTGAGTGCCATAATACTCTTCTCAGTCAACTGACGTGTTCAGAATGAATTATAAAGTTCATGGAGTACTCTCAAATAATAATCATTTTTAAAAAGAGCAATTATCATTTACCCCTGGGTAACTGACCATATCAAAGCTAACAAGAGATTACAAAGACCTTTATTAAAATCCAGGCCTCATTTTACAAGTCAAGTGAAAAGGTTTCTAGGAAAAACTTTTCACTGGCACCTTCATGAATAATTACTTCTCTTAATTCCTACAAGTAGCAACACTTGTGTTTTTGAGAAGTCTTATTTAAGACATTTAAAGATATTTAATTATCAGACAAGTCATTTTGCCAAGAGTAAGTCAGGTATAGCAGCACTCACCCACCTTCACTAACCAGCTCACTATTGTCTGACTGCTTACAAGAGATGATCTTCTCCACTAGTTGGTTGTAGCTGCAGTTACCAACAGCTTTTACAATGTCATCAATCTAGAAAACAAATGACTGTCTCACTAATCATGGTAAGATTAAAAACAATAACAAAGAAACCCATATCGCTCTTTAGGGTTTCATTCTAATACAATACTAAATATACAAATATTATTTATGAAAAGAATTAACCCTAAAATTAATACCCAACTGTTTCCAATTTTGTTTATAGCTATATTATGGAGAATATGTATACTTTAAAACATATCTTTATTGATTTCGGAAAGAGGGAGGGAGAGGGAGAGAGAGATATAGAAACATCAATGATGAGAGTCATTGATCAGCTGCCTCCTGCATGTCCCCTACTGGGGATCGAGCCTGAAACCCAGGCATGTGCCCTGACTGGGAATCAAACCTCCATCTCCTGGATCATAGGTCAATGCTCAACCACTGAGCACCACTGGCCAGGCATGAAGAATTTTTTTTTTTTTAAAGAAAAAAATAATAATTAAATGGATTACATGCAACTTTATTTCTTAAGGTTGTAAAGATGCAGTTAAATGATTAAAATAAAAAATAAACTACTTCAGGAGGAAAAATAAGAAAAGTTCAGGCTTTTTTTGTTTGTTTGTTTTTACTGAAATGCAAATGTTCTGCATTTAAAGCAAGGCAAATTTAAAGATGTTAATTTATGAGATTAAAGTTTTTCCATTTTATTTATTTATTTTTACTTCTTTTTAAATTTTCTCTTAAAAACTGATTTCAAAGAGGGGGAGGGAAAGGGAGAGGGAGATAGAAACATCAATGATGAGAGTCATTGATCAGCTGCCTCCTGCACACCCTCTACTGGGAATCAAGCCCACAACATGGGCATATTCCCTGACCAGGAATCAAACCCTGACCTCCAGGTACATGGGTCGACGCTCAACCACTGAGCCACGCTGGCCAGGCTCCATTTTATTTATTATTTATTTCCTAGCCAAGTATAGTGGAAATATGAGTACACATAACTAACTTTATTTTCCTGAAGAAAAGTTTAATGTATATTAATCAGGGACAGTATTTGCCCAATGATTCTTAATTTTTGTCTTTTAAGTTCACTAGAAAAGTAAATTCAATGTTTTAAGCTATAGGAATATAAAATTGGGCATCTCTACTCTCTCTCCATTATACTTTGCTTTGATTATTGAAGAAAAATAGATTTCTGCTGTCTAAACAACTTATTTTGTTTGCCCTCCCATCCCTAAAATATATTTATAGATTATTTACAGGTACTACTGTATTAATATGATATATGCATAATAAAACAAGTATAAATTTATACAATGATATAAAAGATAAGAGGGCCAATGTTTTCTTTCCATATCCAAATGATCTTCTTGAATTGAATGCTTACTCTTCGAATACCACAAGTCTTGACATATACAGTATCTGCACAAGAAATACTCTGGATAGTAGTTCCCAAACTGTGGAGCTTGTTAAAAACATTTAAGTCCTGGTTGTTGTGACTCAGTTGGTTGGAGTGTCCTCCCATGCACCAGAAGGTTGAGGGTTCAATTCTGGTCCAGGTACAAACCTAGGCTGCCCCGGTTGGGGTGCATGCAGGAGGCAACTGATTGATGTATCTCTCTCATATTGATGTTTCTTTCTCTCTCTTTCTCCCTCTTTTCCCCCTCCTCTAAAATTAATTTAAAAAAATAAAAAAGATTTAAAAGAATTCCAGGCTCAAGTTGCTTCTCAATTTTCTAAGTTTTATTCCACTGCTGGATAGCAAAGTTTGAGAACAATTGCTCTGCTCTAGGCTATAATTTATTTTCTTTGTTCCTGCAAAATTCTACCTTAGTAAAAGCCTCTTAACCATGCAAGTGGGACTGATGGTTGGTTGAAAAGATCAGTAAATTGAAAAAGTCAATTGTGGAAATTGTTACATACATATCTTAAACATTTCATATTAACTAAAAACACATAAATGTATTCACTTGTCAATCTTTTGATGCAGAGCCAAGTAACGCCTTTTCTTTGAAAGAGGGTCTTTTGGCTCCAAGTCTATGTAAACCACACAAAAAAGTATTACTTCCAGCTTTGATTCATTTAAAATGAAAACTTAAACCCTTAAGAAGCAATTTGAGGACACAATTCCTTTAGATTTTCATTATTTTTCTTAACACTTTTATTGTTTAGAGCAATTTTCTTTAGTGAGTCAACTTCATTGTCTTTCCAAAGAATCTGAATTTTCAATCCTAAGGACTCCACAAAAAGACTACTAGAATAATAAATAAAAGATCAATATACAAAAATCTACAGACTATGAACAACACAAAATTTCAAGTTTTCATATGTCGAATCTTTGTATGAATATTTCATTCAATTAGTTCATTTGGGTGCCTTTTATGCACTACTATATACCAGGTGCTATTAGAGAAACTGCAGATGCAGCAGTGAACAAAATAGATGGTCTATGCTCTCATAAAGTTTATATTCTGGAGCAAACAGAAACAATAAACCAAATAATCAAATATATAATATACTAGGTAGTTATATGTAGTTTATGCAACTGTTCTTTTTTATTGTTCTATAGTATTCCATAGTATGAATATAAGTTAATATATTCATTCATCTTTGGATGGCTATCTAAGCTATTTTCATTTGGGGCTATGACAAATAATATGCTAAGAACATTCTTGTACATTTATCCTGTTCCACATATCAAGAGTTTCTCAAGGAATATGCCTTGTCAAATTTCTGAGTCTTAGGATACCCTTATCCTCAACTTTACTAGATAACTACAAACTGCTTTCCAAAGTAGACAGCCAATTTACATTCTCTTCAGGAGAAAATGTGCAATGTATTCTCGATGAATACATTGCACATTTTCTCCAACATTTAGTATTGTCAGACTTTTAAATGTTAGCTATTCTGATGGGTGTATAGTGGTCTCTGATTTTGGTTTTAATTTGCATTTCCCTGATGACAAGTTCATATGTTCACTGGCCATTTGTATATCCATTTTTCTGAAGTGCCTGTTCAAGTCATTTGCTCCTTGTTTTACTGGGTGGTCTACCTTTAAAAACAGTACTTGTAGGAGCTTTTTATACCTTTTGGATATTAATCCTTTGTTCATTATATAAGTTGCAATAATCTTCTACTCTGTGGCTTACTTTTACATTCTCTTTGGAATTTCTTTAGACAAATACAAATTCTCAATTTTAATGTAGTTATGTTCTACCTATGTTCTTCATAGTTAATGCATTCGTGCCTTATTTTGGAAACCTTTTTTATCATTAAGGTTAAAAACATATTCGAAAACTTACACAATTTTAACTTTTATAGTTAAACAGAAGTATACATGGAATAGAATTTTATGGTGTGATTTGGGGAAAATAATTTCATTTTTTCTAATTGGCTATCTAATTAGAAATTTGAAATGGCTATCTAACTGGCTAACTAATTACATATCCAATTGTCTTAGCACCTTTTATCAAAGGGACTGTCTTTCCCCCTATTAGTGCCCTATTTCTGTCTATATATTCATGGTTTTTTAGCCTCTCTATTCTGTCATTGATCTAATTCTTAATCACAATATTTAAAATATTCTGTATCTGGAAGAGCAAGTCCTACCTGCTTATTCTGCTTCAAGAATATCTTGGCTTCTATTCCTAGCTCTTTGCATTTCCATATAAATTACAGAATCAACTTTTCACATTCCACAACTACTTCTACAGATTTGCTGTGATTTTGTTTGGGATTGTATTGAAACTATAATTTACTTTAGAGACAAATGACATATATATAAATCCGGTCTTCATATCTAAATTCTCATGTGTGTAAAAAGAACGTATAGTCAGGTTCATGAAAAACAAGTAAAGACTGAAAAAACACCATGGACAGGAGGAGACTAGGAAGATATAATGATTAAGTGCAATGTTTACCCTGGATTGGATTCTGGGGAAGAAAAAATAGTGGAATAACTGGTGAAATGTGAATTCTGTAATATAGTTAATAGTAATGTACCAATATTAAATTTCTAAGTTTTGAAACATGTACCATGGCTATGTAAGATTAAGGGAAACTGGGTAAAGAGTACATGGGAATTTTCTGTAATATCTTTGTAACTTTCCTGTTTCTCAAATTATTCAAAAATAAAAAAAGTTTATTAATTTTTTAGAAGAATGTATGTATGTTAGGTTTTCTTTTCTGCTTCTAACAATTGCAAAGAAAGGTGTATTAAAATCTTCCAGTATGATAATCTATTTGTTCTTATAATGTTATTATATTTTGCTTTATGTACTTTGAGGTTATGAGAGGCATATTAATTTTGTTCTTCATTGTCAAAAACTGACCTTTACTCTTTGTGACAGTTCCCATGGGTCTAAGGATGAACAGTAAATCAGGGTTTTTACTTTTCAGGTGTCTCCAGCCACATATAAATTTTAAATGATTATATCTTCTTAGCAAATTAAACAATCTAACACTAGTAAATTTTTTTACTTTAAGTCTATTCTTTCTGATATTACTATAGGTACAGCAGCTTTCTTTTGATTAGCAATTGTATGGAATCTCTTTTTTCCTTCTTTCTACTTGCAATCTTTCTTTTTAACTTCATACTGTTTTATATCTCTTGCAAATAGCAAATATATGTATATTAATCTAGCCTCAGAATTGCTATCTTTCAATTAGAGCATTTAGTTCTATTCACACTTACTATAATTATTCATATATTTGGATTTATTAAATCTACCATTCTCTCTAACCTAACAATTCAACATTTCTTTACCTCCCCTTTCTTCCTTCTTTTTGGATTAATTTTCTCCCTTTCTACTAATCTAGAAGTTACCCACTATGTTTTCTATTCTTTTCATGGTTACTCTAAAAGAGCATTATCGAATAGCACATTCTGTAATAATGGAAATATTCCAAATCTGTGTTGCCCAATAAGATATTCACTAGCCACTTGTGGCTACTGAGCAATTGAAATATGTCTAGTGCAACTCAGGAACTACATTTTAAATTAAATCTAAATTTAAATACCCCCACTTGGCTACCATATTGGACAAAGAAGTTATAGAAACTATAACATCTGCCCCTACCATATCAAAGTCAGAAGTTAATACTCTATTCTTGAACAATTAATTATAGGCTCTCAGTATACTTTACTTTCCTCCCAACTTATGTCATTCTTTGCATATACTAATTTTCTTTATTTAAACCCAAAAAGATGATATTATCTGATATAATCAACATTTATATTTATGCATATATTTATAATGTTATTTTCCCTACATTCACTCTTCCTTTTCTCTGGGATCACTTTCCTTCTTCTCAAAATCCTTGTTTAGAATTTCCATTAATGACTGTCTACTGGCAGGATACTATCTTAATTAATCTAAAAAATGACTTCCACCCGGCCGGGCATGGCTCAGCGGCTGAGCGTCGACCTAGGATCCGGGCGATCAGGGTTCGATTCCCAGTCAGGGCACATGCCCGGGTTGCGGGCTGCAGCCGATCAATGACTCTCATCATTGACATTTCTGTCTGTCTCCCTCTCCTTTCCTCTCTCTGAAATCAATAAAGATATATTTAAAAAAATAAAAAAAATAAAAAATGACTTCCTTTTTCTCCATTCTTAAAAGATAATTTTTTCTGGGAATAGGATTATAGTTTAACATTTGTCTTCTTTCAGCACACTGAATATATAATTTCCACTGTCATTAGTCATAGGGATGATCTGAATCCAATTTTAAGAATTTAGGCTTAAATTCCTGAGACTATCAGCTCATTCTCAAGAATCTAGTCCACCTAGCATTGTCACCTGCCAGGGTCTAACATGGCTCACCTTGGATGTGTAAAATATTGGGCATGTTTAGACTTTTCAGTGATATTCTCAGAGACAGTGTCAATAAAGACACAGATACCCTGCTCACTGTAAACCATCCTTTCATTGCTCAGAATACTAGTCAATTTTACCAATGGATAGAGATGAAGAAACACTACCAAGTCCTTGCTATTGTGATCTCTCCTTCCCTGTAGTTAATGCATGCCTGCATGCATGCTTTATTCCATCACTCAATATTTATTGGGAACCTACTATGTGCCAGGCACTCTTTTAAATAATGATAAATAAGATCCCAGCCCTCATAAAACATATATGTGGGAGATGACAGTTAATCAAGTAAAGAAATAAATAATAATTCCAAATAAGTGGTAAAGAAAATCAAATAGGGTCATGGGAGAAGAAATAACCAGGGAAATGGAGGATGACTAATTTCAACAAGATGGTCAAGGAAGATCTTTCTAACAATGTGATATATGACCTAAGACCTGAGTTATGAGGAACTAGAAATGTGAAGGTCTGGGAGAACAACATCTGGGTTAGGAGAACAAAGCTCCACAGCGGGCAATCAGCTAGCACAAAACTGAGATAGGACTGAGCTTGACACGTCTGTAGAACAGGAAAGCAGTATTGCTGGAGGTAGTAAAAAACATAGGAGAATTATACGAGGTGAATTTGAATAGACAAGCGAAGTCTAGGTGATGTAGCATAATCATAAAACTCTAATAAGGATTTTGCATCTTGTATTAGTTTCACTGGGGACTTTTAAGGAAAGGAGGGCACAGGGATAAAGAAGAGGGTTTATTTTACAAAGATCACTCTGAGTGCCAAGATAACTCAAGGGGGAGAAAGAATAATTTTTTCAGCCTTAGCCGGGTAGCTCAGTTGGTTAGAGCATTGTCCCAATATGCCAAGCTTATGGGTTCGATAGTCAGGACACATTCAAGAATCAACCAATGAATGTATAATTAAGTGGAAGAACAAATCAATGTCTCTCTCTCAATCTCTCTCTCTCTCTCTCTCTCTTAAAAGAAAAAACAAATAAAAGAATAATCTTTTCAACAAATGGAACTAGGACAACTAGATATCCACATGCAACAGAATAAAGTTGGATCCCTTCCTCAAATGTATACAAAAATTGCCCTAGCCGGGTTTGCTCAGTGGTTAGAGCATTGGTCTGCAGACTGAAGGGTCCTGGGTTCAAATCCGGCCAAAGGCATGTACCTTGGTTGCAGGCTCAATCCCCGGCCCTGGTGGGGGCATGTGCAGGAGGCGACCAATCGATGTGTCTCTCTCACACTGCTGTTTCTTTCTCTCTCTCTCTCTCTCTCTCTCTCTCCCCCCCTTCCACTCTCTCTGAAAAGCAATGGAAAAAATATCCTTGGGTGAGGATTAAAAAAATTTTTTTAAGTAAAAAAATATATACAAAAATTGCCCTGGCCAGTGTGGCTCAATTGGTTGAACGTTATCCCATGCACCAAAAGGTTACCAGATTGATTTCCTGGTCAGGACACATGCCCAGGTTTCAGGCTCAATCCCCAGTAGGGGGCATGCAGGAGGCAGCCAGCTGATTGATATTTCTCTTTCACATGGATGTCTCTCTCTCTCTCCCCCGCTTCCCACCGTCCCCCTTCTCCCTTTCCCTTCCTCTCTCTCTAAAATAAATAAAAACATATTTAAAAACAATATAAAAATCAACTTATGGTGAATCATACTCCTGAACCTAAGAACTAAAACTTAGAAGAAGATATAGGAGTAAATCCTTGTGACTTTGGATTAGGCCAAGTCTTTTTAAGCAGGACACCAAAAACATAAGCAACAAAAGAAAAAGTAGATAAATTGGACTTCATCAAAATTTAAAACTTTTCTTCTTTAAAAGATACCATCAAGAAAGTGAAAAGATAACCCAGAATGGGAAAAAAATTTTCAAATAAAATATCTGATAAGAGACTTACACCTAGATATAAAAAGAATTCTTACAACTCAATAACAAAAAGACAAATAGTCCAATTAAAAATAGGAAGAGATCTGTAGACATTTCTCCAAAGAAAATATACAAATGGCCAATAAGTATATGAAAAGATGCTCAACATCATTAGTCATTGGAGAAATGTAAACAAATCCACAATGAGATATGACCTTACATTTATTAGGATAACTATAATTAAAAAGACAGATAATAATAAGTGTTGGTGAGGATGTGGTCTCAACTTTGTAGTTGGCCCCTAACTCAGTAAAGTTATACTTAGAAGTCTTGGGCTTGGGCAGGTTTAGTAGTCTGGAGGACTGCTCCCTTAACATCTTAATTTTGCTTATTCCAAGTAAAAACACAAAAATATAAGTATCAGAAAATATAAATCTAAATTAATTTGTCAAATTAACAGCATTTTACTAAATTTGTGTTTATAATTTAAAATTTTCTACTTACCTGAGGGTCTACTAACCACCCATGGTATAAAGGAATATCAAGAAGATCAAATACTATGCATTCTGGTGTATATTCAAACACTCGAACACCAGTGAATTTTACATTTACATCCAAGCCTGTCTGTAGTTTGTGTAAGATTGCCATAGCATCACTCATATTCTGAAAACAGAAAAGGAAAGGGTAATGATAAGAAAAAGGAAATAACAACAAAAAAGATATTTAAATGCAAGCACATTTCCTTCTAATTTTCCATTTTTTATTTTTATTATTAAGTACCTACTATGTGTCAGGCAGCAATCTGAGTTCTAAATATTTAATAGTGAATAAAAGAGACAAAGCTCCTGATCTCATGCAACTAACATGCTCCTGTGAGAGACAAATATATAAATGCATAATATAATGTCAAGTATTGGTAAGAAAAATTGAGCAGGATAAGGAATGACAGGGATGAGGGACTGATTTTAGACCAAGAAGCCTAACGACAAAAGTTTTAGTCAAAGAGGAAGGTGTCCCCTACTTCTAGGTATATATCCAAAAGAAATGAAAGCAACATCTTGAAGAGATATTTGTATACCCATGCTCATTGCAGCATTATTCACAATAACCAAGAGGTAGAAACAGCCCATATGTCTACTGACATATATAAAGAAAATGTGGTTTATACATACAATGGAATATTATCCAGCATTAAAAAAAGGAAATCCTGTTACATGAAACAACAAGGATAAAACTTGAGAACATTATGCTGAGTAAAATAAGCGACTGCAAAAGGACAAATTCTGCATTATTCCACTTATATGAAATCACCAGAATAGGCAAAATAATGGAAACAGAAAGTAGAATGATGGTGGTTAGGGCCTGAAGGGGGAGAGAGCTGGGGAATTGTTTGATGGGCAAAGAGTTTCAGTTTTACAAGATAAAAATGTTCTAGAGATCTGTTACAAAACAAAGTGAATGTAGTTAATGCTACTAAATTACACATTTAAAAATGGTTAAGAGAGTAAATTTTAACTTTTTTAACCACAAAAGTAAAGAAAAAGAAATGAGCTATCAAGACATGGAGGAGCCTGGCCGGCCTGACCAGAATCTAACTGCTGCCACCTGGATCATAGGTTGATGCTAAACCGCTGAACCACACCAGCCGGGCTGGAGGAAATTTAAATGTATATTATTACTAAGTGAAAGAAGCCAATCTGAAATGGCAACATGCTGTATGATTCTAAACAATAATGTGAGAAAGACAAAACAATGGAGACATTGAAAAGTTCAGTGATTGCCAGGGGTTAGGAGGAGCAAGGGAGATATAGACAGAACACAAAGGATTTTTAGGGCAGTGAAACTATTATGCATGATACGGTAATGGTGGATACATGTCATTATATATTTGTCAAACCCACAGAATATATAACACAGAGTGAACCCTAATGTAAACTATGGATTTTGGGTATCAATTATAACAAATGTGTCACTCTGGTACAGGCGTTGATAGTGGGGGAGGCCGTGTGTGTGTGATGGGGGACAAGAGGTATATGGGAACTCTCCATACTTTTTATTAAAATTTGCTGTGAACTTAAACTGCTTAGGAAAGGGAGAAGGGGCTCTTTAAAAATGACACTTAAATAGTGACCAAGCAAAATACTGAGTCTTGGGAAGCTCTAGGACAAAAGGATTCCAGACAAAGTAAACACTAGTGCAAAAACTCTGATGCAGAAATGAATTCAATATTGTGTCCATGGAACAGCAAGGAGTCCAGCCAGCATGTAGAACAAAATAAATGAATTGGAAAGTGATGAGAGATAAAGTCAGAAAGACAGAGGCTGGATCACAAGGACTTCTTGGCCAAATCAAGGAGTCATTCTATGCACATCAGTTTTCTCAATAAATATGGCCACACAAGTCTGTAATAAAGATTATGTTAAAACATGTTTTTCTAAATTTTAATACATTAAATATAAACACACTTACAGAGGATATATCTGATGAAACAAATAAAAGCCAATATATAAAATTTAATAAAACTTTATTGAATCCCTACTGTTAATCAGACACTGTGATAAATATTGAAGATATAAAATAGGAGTAGACTATAGCCTACTGGAAAGCTTATAGTAGAAAGGGTGAACATGAAATAAATCTTTTTATATTAAAACTCAGGACTCTGAAATCTGAAGAAGACAAAATTAGGTCATAAGAACAAAGTTCTATTTTACCAAATAACTGATAAAATTCCATTCTAAGAGACTGGACAGACTGAAAACAAAAAATTATTCAAATATTAAAAATTTATGAATGAGAAATTTATAACAGAATAACATTATTATATAGTCTTTGATGCTTGTCAGTTTTACCTCTTCCTAATAACTATGTTCCCCCAAAACAATACAGTTGACTCTTGAATAACATGGGATTGAATTATATGCATCCACTTATATACAGATCTTTTTCAGTAAATACTATAAATTTTTCAGAAAATCTTTTCCTTATGATTTTCTTTATTATTTTTAAATTATAGTTGTCATTCAATATTATATTAGTTTCCTTATGATTTTAACGTTTTCTTTTCTCTAGCTTACTTCATTATAATACAGTACATAATACATATAAGATGCAAAATATGTGTTAATTGACTGTTTATATTATTGGTAAGGCTTCTGGTCTACAGTAGGCTATTAGTAGTTAAGTTTTGGGTAAGTCAAAAGTTATAATGCAAACTTCTGACTGTGCTGCTTGTTGGTGCCCCTAACCACTGCATTGTTCTAGGGTCAACTGCATTTTCTCAATCTTATCAAATGTTAACCCTTAAAAAAAATCAGCTCATGCCCTTGCCGATGTGGCTCAGTTGGTTGGAGTGTTGTCCTGTGTACCAAAAGGTTGCTGGTTCAATTCCTGGTCAGGGCACATGCCCAGGTTTCGGGTTCGATCTCTAGTTGGGGTTTGTGTGGAAGGCAACCAATTGATGTCTCTCTCTCTCATATCGATGTTTCTCTCTCTCCCTCTCCCTTCCCCTCTCTATAAAAATCAACAAAAACTTTAAAAAAAAAAATCAGCTCACATTTTTCCTTTCAGTGTTTTAAAATTGCCTAAAATCATAGCAATGATGAATCTGAGAAAATAGTAAAAATAGTGAACAATTGTAGGATTACAGTTCTACTACTGATTTTTTCTTCTATGTCTGTTTTACTCAAGGTTGCCAGTCATCCAATCTCCTTTAGGGGAATTATAATTTCCAATAACTCCTGGGCTCATGTTTACACCTTTACATATCTTCTACATTTTTTATAAGTATTAAAATAAATAAATTGATACCACTTGATAATCTCCATAAATATTAATAAAGTGATACAAAATCAACAAATTTATAAACAAAGAGTTCAAAAGGATATTTTGTCATTTTCCTAAATCTAAGTTTATGATAATATTATATCATAAAATATAGATCCTAGGAATGGTTGCTTACTTCACAAGAATTACCATTGGTTCCTTTAAGCCAGTGGTTGAACTGTTTCTTAAAATTTTTCCCAAAGGTACTTCTAACATATGCAACATATTTTAAATTTAAATATAAAATATCTTTTAAAAATCTCTATGTAGTTATGTTTAAAGCTGTCATGAAAACACACACAAATACAATGTTTCCTTGTGTTGTCAGGGTGCCTATCCATTAAACAAAACTGGGTAAAATATGCTCTTTGTTTACCTTACAACTTCTGGTAAAGAGGATTTAATTAGAAAAATTACAGCTCTGCATTGGTCTTTCTAAAATTTAGGCTTGAACATTTTTGCTCACATAAAATTATACAAAAAAAGAACACTATTACATCATACCTGTGGAATATTAAACACCAGCTTACACCTTAGCCATATCAGCTTGATACATTACCACTCTCTCAAAGCTAATGGTACTATAACCAAACTACCTTATAAATAGTTTTACAGCTTATTTTATTCTTTTTTAAATATGTTTTTATTGATTTACAGAAAGAGGAAAGGAGAGGTATAGAGAGCCAGAAACATGGATGAGAGAGAAACGTTGATTGGTTGCCTCCTGCACACCCCCTACTGGGGATGGAGCCCACAACCCAGGTAGAGATTATTTTAAATGCAGGGTACCTTTTGTCTGACAGGTTTATAAGAATTGCAAGCAGATGTTAGATACTGTTTATTTCAACTTTGAAACAAAACTTTACTTCCAATCATTTTCCAAGAGTACACCACCTTAATGGAAGTGTATCTGAAACTGCAAGTTGGACTTGAAACAAACAAAATGCTGATGTCATTTGTAAACATTCATCAATTAAGATTTTCCCAAGACTGTGCAACAGAAGTAAAATGAATTTTGAGGCTGAATGGAATCTATAGCTCTCATCTATAATTCCCAATTTCAAGTTTTTGTATTAATCAAAATAGTCTCACTGATTTCAATAAGAAATGACATAAATTTGATAAATATTATAAATTGAACCATATCACTTTATACTTACAAAATATCATTTACTGGCTTTATATATTGGAAGTTTGCATAAGATTTCACTTCAAAAGAGGTTTCCATTGCGAAAAATATTTAGAAATCATTGCTTTAAGCTAAAAATTTCAATACGATTTAAATGACAGTATATTTGGCTTTAGCTACAGATTTCCTACTTTACACAATGATGTAATGCAAGATGTTGGCTTTTCGGTTCTTTTAGAACTAGATTATCTGAACATCCAAATTCAAGAAATTCTGTGATACTGAAATGAGTTTTGCTTCCTTTGATACTAGTGAAAGTATATTAAAAAACTTTTAAAGTAAACATAAAGGTTCCAATGATGTCTATTTCTTCCCTGGCTGATACTTCCTCCCTTACACTGTAAGAAACTGATTCCTTCTTGCTTTCTACTGTCAAACAAAGGGAGAATACTAAAGAAAAGGAAGTTCTGCTTGCTTTTTTCCAGCTCCAATAATTTTAAACCTAGTGACCCCTCCTATATCACAGAACAGAATCTCTAAAGAACATGCTAAGAAATGTGGACACATTGAAACTATGAAACAGCAGGGTACTAACTGTCCTAATGACATACCCTAAACATCATTTGTCCAACTTTCTCCTAAATATAACTTAATTATAAAATATAAATAAATACATAAAATGAGGAAAGGTGAATCAGTAACAAAATCAATTGAAAGTCAACTTTGCATAGAAAATATGAGGTTATCATTCTATATAGGCCTATAGAATAATATCTATGTTTCATTCTATATAGCATATATATATATATTCATATAAAAAAGAGACTGGCTACTGATAAGAGATCAATAAATACATCCCTAAGTTAAAAATTACATATTTTAATATAATAAAAATTGTTTCTATTACCTGCTCATAGTTTAAACGTTGAATTTCTGAAATTTCTTTTGGCTTTGCATCAAGCATGTAATCTCCTGTAAAAAGAAATTATGAAGTGCCTTTTAAAAATATTGTTTTAATTCTAAATTATAGCAATAGGTGACATATAAAATTACCCCCCCCCCC